AAAAAAAAAAGTTTAGAGGAAATTAGTTGCCCATTCAACAATTGCCATTGTTTTGTTTCACACTAGTTATAATCCCCTCAATGTGGCTGCACCCTACTCACTTTCTCCTTGTCTCCATTTGTCTGTCCTCCATGCCCTTCCTACCTTCTCAGCTTTGTTTTTGGGGGATGCTGCTCTTTTGAACTATGTGGTTGATGTTCTGAGGATCATGTTCCTCCTGGTTATCAGTATTCACATGACAGGCCCGCCTATCTTTTGGTTGAAATACGATCTCTGGGAGTGGGTTAGTTCCAGGTCTGAAGGGTGCCTATGGGTCAAAGCCTCAAGGGTTCCACCAATCTCTATCACACCAGTAAATCCAGTCTTTTTTTAAGAGGTTGAGTTTTGTTCTACACCTTCTTCCCACTTTTTCCAGGACCTTCTGCATGATCTCAGTCAGAAGAGTCTCTGGCTAGTTCTTTATCCTGAAGTATATCCTGGGGATTCCTGCTGGGGCATTTAAATGGGAGGAGGTCATGGTGCATGGGCTGCCAATCTTTTCATGTTAATGACAGACAGTAAGGTAATCTCATTCATAAGCAGTATTTATTCAAAACACTGCTACTTTTTTATAGGTTGGAAAGAGAACTACACCAATGAAAGAAAGCATCAAAGACCTGATTCTGAGAGAGAAAGGAACTGAACCACTCCCTAGGGGTAACTCCTGACTGTTGCAGCCCTGTGAAGCCCCCTCTCTTTCAGTGCTTTAACAGCAACTTAATTTCAAGGAGTAGAAGATATGTGCAAGCAAAAATAATACAAATGACCCTAAGAAAAGGGCTTCTAGCAATGAGGAACCAATCAGGAGAAAGAGATCCTCATGTCTGGCACACTCTGAGGGCCATCACCTCAATTCAGTTCTGCTAGTTACTAGAGTGTGCACGCAAAGAACACAACAAAAAAGCTTGGTGAAGGTACGAAGCACAAGGTGAATGATCTAAGCAGTTCTTTCTGGAGCACTCGGATTCTATTAGTGACCCTTTATCCATTCTGTAGGAGCCTGAGCTACAAGAAGAGTTCAGTGCAAGCCGTAACCATGCCTGATCAGTAACAAACTCATTTTTTAAAATGTAATGTTTAAATAAGGTCAAAATGGAGGTCCCAAATATGCTAGTGTGTTGTTCATGTGAATTGACCAAATTAACCAGTTTCCCCTTAGGAGCCTCAATCAAACCAACCTACCCGAGTGTGGAATAGTTCAGTAACTTTCAGATGAACAAATGGATATAAAAATTTTACTCTTTTAGCTTGTTGTTGTTTTTATGTGCTGTTGAGTTAACTGAGACTCATAGTGACCCTATGTACAAGAGCCTTAAACCCTACTCTATCCTGGGGCGCTGGCTGAAAATCGCCTGTGACTTCATCCATAGCCACTG